GAGCGCACGGGGTGGGGGTGCGGGGCGCTGGGCCGCCCCGGGAGGCGGGGTGAGGAAGGGGATGGAGGTGATCCGGAAGGATTCCTGGAGGAGGTGACAGGGTGGCTACTCCCGCGGCCAGGCCGGGGTGGAAGTGCTCGTGGGGCTGGGGTGAGAGGTGGGGTGGGGTGGAGAGAAGAGGGGAGCAGTGAGGCTGCAGAGGTGGAGGTGACCGGTGGACCGAGGGGTGGCATTTACCCTCAGCGGCAGGGGAAGTAACGGGAGGGAGGGGGTCGGCTTGCATTTTAGGAAGAACCCCTGGCGCCTCCGTGGCGTCTGGTCAGGAGAGGGCAGCCTGGAGCCAGGGACACCCCCGTGAGGCTGTAGAGAGAGGATGGCGGTGGGCATGAAGATCAAGGACCAAGCTGACAACTATTCAGGATGTAGAAGTGAAAAGATGGACAGCGTTTGGGGCCTGGCTGGCCACTGAGGGAGGAGGGGTCTAGGATGACTGCAGGGCTTGGCCCTGGAGGTGGAGCTGGCAGGGATGAGGGGATGAGAGGGATGAGATCAGACTTGGACCTGGTGAGCTGGAGGTGGAGGCAGGCCAGCCGAGGGGAGATAATGTAAAAGTCGACAGCTAGCTACCATACTGCGCTGGCTTGGGAGGTGCCAGGCACTGTGCTAAGCATTTTTCTCCGATTAAAAATGAGGCAGGTGTTCCTATCACTCTCCATTTAAGAGGAGAAAACAGAGGCTTAGAAGAATGAACATGGCTTAAGAGCAGGTGAGGTCCAGAGCTCAGGGGACAGGGGTGTGGTCTGTAGGAACAGAGTTCCCCAGTGGCCAGTGTCTCTGCCATCTCAGTCTCTGAGGGGCTGTGAGAGGTGGCATGTTGAGCCAGGATGGCCTTGGTGAGGACAAAATTAATTCTTCAGGGGCTAAAGGACATCTGCAGTTTGGGAGAGTCTCTGGGTGTCTAGAATCTGCTGGCAGCCAGGGGGTGCTGGCTGGCTTGTGATGGGGGAGGTGGTGGTGACTTTGGTGACAGCCTGTTTATTGTCCGGGGTCTTTATGGACGTGACTTGCAGGCATCTGGTGAGATCCGGGTGGGAGGCTGGAGTAGGGCGATTGATTATATGATCCCTGTAGGGATGGGTATGTAACGTCAGTGCTGGGGGTGAGGAGCAGGTTCTATGGGAGGGTGTCTGCTAGACCATGGGACCCGGGAGGACCCCCTATTCCTAGTGATGCCTACGCTTCTGGGAGTTAAGAAAACCTTTATCTGATTTCCCACCCCAATGGCAAGTGTTGGGAGTTGCCCCCAAACTACCCAACCTCCTAAGACTGGGCAGGTGACAGGGTAGGTGAGGCAATAAGCCTATATAGGCCCCAAACATGGACGTAGCTCATGGGCAAGTCACGTCTCAGGCCTGAGAATCTCTCTTAGCAAAGCCATACTCAGCTTAGATGTGGGCGGGGGGGGGCGGGGGGACCACTTGGCCAACCTTTTGGAACATACCACCTGCAGGCCCCTCCCCTAGGACCCAGGACAGGTGAGCAGCAGGATCCCGCACTGGACGCGCAACCCATCAGACAGCACAAGCCCTCCCAACCCCATGTCTCCCTCCCCACTCAGGGAGGCCCAGCGCTTCACTTCTTGGCTATGTTTCCTGAGCAGGGCCTCCGTGACCCCTAACTCTGGAGCCAGCACCTATGACCTTGTGGTTTGACCCTGGGATTCAGCCACCTAGAGATCTTGCCAGAAGAGTTCCAAGAATGGTCCACTTGGTGATGATGCCCTGAGAGGCATGGTCATCCCCAGGTTTCCAGGTGACCCTCGGGTGGGTGGCAGGACTGGATGGGTCCTGTGTGGCCCTGAGGTGAACTAGGAGGTCTGAGAAGGCAAGCTATGGGAAGCCAGGATTTGGCTTGACATGTGTGAAACGTGTGTGATAGAGCCATCGGCAAGGGTGCCTCAGGAGCAGACTGCCACAGCGGCCACTCTCTCAGGTGTCCCGGACCCACCAAGGTGACCTTGAAGGGCCCTGATGTTGGAACTTGCATTTCGTAGGGCAAAGGGAAATGTGAGACTCTCCTTGGGGGGTCAGGCCACTGAACACCCGTGCCTTGTGCTTTAGTTTTCACACACACACACACACACCAGTGCCCCGAGCAAGGAGGGGCTGCCGCTGGAAATGGCCAAGTCCGGCCCTCTTCCCCGATCTCACCTCTTTGGGACTTCGCCAAGGTTGGTCCCTGGAAACCTGGCATTTGGACTCCCAGGCCCATTCATATTAGAGCTGGGGAGTTAGCAACCAGACCTGCTGGCACAGAGCAGGGGGCTTAAGACTATTTAAGGCCTCTCCAGTGGGCCCCCAGAGAGGTTCTCTAGGACCCTGGGGTCAAAACTGCTCTGACATGTCACCTCCCGCCCCCAGCTGCCACCTCCCGGAAACCTGATTCTTCAGGGTGCCTTGTGAGAGCAGGGGCTGGGGATCCCCATGAGGCTGGAAGATTTCTCCAGGGAGGGACTTGGGGTTCACCTTACCTACCGAACCCATCCTGGAATTCCAGCAGCGCCTTGTGAAAGAGGAATGGGATGCACCTAAGGAACGCTCTAGAAACCCAGCTTTGCCCAGTTGGGATGGATAAAAAAGCATGGGTGCTGATGGGGCAATGGTAGCAGAGGGTGTGCCTGGGAACCAGGGCTTTCCGTAGAAAGGTACTTGGGAATGGAGAAGCACTGGTGGTGGGAGACCACTGGGCAAGACTGGCATCCCTGTCCTCCCTCCACCACCCTCCCGTCAATCAAGAAACCAGGCAGCGAGGCTCTGGGGGCTGCGTTTATGGGGACGACCTGACAGAGGGCATGGTCCGTACAAAACCGGAAACAATACATACATATATATATTATATACAGAGACGCAGTCCTGCAGAGGGCGGGATGGGGACCGACACTGGCCAGAGCAACCAGGAGCGCCTGCGGCCCCACCTGCCTGGCCCCGCCCCCTCCATCTGCGAGGGCATAGGTGGAGTGCATGGGCCGGGCACTGAGACAGCCAGCTCTTTCAGGGGTAGGGAAACGTCTGGAGACGGGGAGGGGAGAGGGAAGAAATACTGATAGATGGCATGGTCTATTTATAGGGGATGAGGAGACGCCAAAAACCCAGGCTGGGGCAGGGGCATCAGGGAGGGGCAAAATGAGAGATGGATTCTGAAAGGGGAGGGGGACCGGAGAGGGTCCCCACCTCCCTTGGTCCAAGCCCCAATTTGGGGTTAAAGTGAGGAAACGAGTCAATTTCACTTAGAAAGCAGGCTGTCAGCAGGGCAGCCCTGGTCTCCAAAAAGTTTAGTAAAATGTTGCCCTCCAGTCAAAACATTGGAAGGGTGTGGGTGGGTGAGGCTGAATCTCTGGTGTTAGTACAAGGCTTCCACGTGTGGCCCTGGGCAGGGCAGGGCCTGGCTCTCAGTAAGAAATGTTTCTCTTGCCTAAGACCAGGTCTCTGCAGCCAGCCCCCTAAAAGCTGATTTCCTCTCATCCCCAGAATTCCCAGGGTTGGACAGGAAACGACCCGAGAGGCCAGAGAACAGTTCCAGGAAGAGGTTATGGCTATTTGGCACCAGGGAAGGGCAGGTGGGAGGCACAAGGAGAAACTGAGGGCTTCTGCCCCCCTCTCCCTACTCTTACTCCCCTTTTCCTTGGAAATACATGAGACATCAGTGCAGGGCCAGGGCCAGGCCCAGCCTCCAGGCTCTGGGTGGACTCAATCCCTCCTGGGAGGGGAAACAGCAATGGGAGAAGGTGTGGAGGCAACCCCTTCCAGGAGGAGGATCAGAATGAAACAGACAGCACAATGATGGGGGAGGGGAGGGGCCAAAAGGTAGAATCTCAAGTCCAGGAGCCCTGTGGGCAGGGAGCAGCCTCCAGGTGGTGAAATGCTGGGAGAGCCCTCAGCCCCATTCCAGTCCAGAGACAAAGGCTGGAGGTTGTAAAGTCTGGCAGTTTGGTCTGCAGATCCTTGTGTCCATCCACCACCCAGGCCAGCCCTCAGCATCCCTCGGCCTCTGTGCCTCAGCCCCATGAAGTAAGAAGGAGACCATCCTTCCAGCCACCTGTCCGCCCGGGGCCACCATAATGGGGCCTGTGATATGGGCCCTCTGGTCCCTGAAGCTGGGGGAGGTGGGGCAGAGGGGTGGGGGAGTCGGGGCACCTGTCCCCAGGCTGGTAGGGGGTGGGGTGAAATATTGAGGACGGGAGGGAGGACAATGGGAGGGGTTAGTTATTGTCTGGTCAAGGAAAGATTCCTGCTAAGTAGAATTGGAATTCCTCAGTGTTTGCAGGTTTCCTTCCAGTTCTGAGATCTGGAAAACAAAGGGGAGAGGGGGTCAGGCGTGGGCCCCACTCCTGTGTCCACTGGTGGGGACGTGGCCCTGAGCTCTCAGCCAGCAGCATGACTGAGATTCAGAGCGGGTGCCTGATGGGGGCTTCCCTGCCATTACCCCCACAAGGCCCTGCCCCCAGGGCACCCTGGGCCTACCTTGTCCAGGAGCTTGTCCATCTCCTCCTTCCTGGCCAGCTCCGACTCCTCCAGAACCCGGCGCTGTGCCGTCTCCTTTTTCAGGAACTCGATCTCCCTGGTGGTCAGCGGGGAACAGATGGTGGGTAAGGGTGTGTGGCCTGGCTTCCACCCAGGAAGTGTCAGGGTTCTCAATCCTATCCTCAGCTCTACTGGGCAGCTCTGCCCTCTCCCTGTTCTCAGGTCAGGGAGGCCGAGGTGTTCCCAAAGCCTCTGGGGTCTGGTCATCATTTCGGGCCCAGGTACCCCCACAACGGGCTCTCCGCCTTCTATGCTGCTCACCTCCCTACTCAGCTGGGGATGGGGAAGGACTGCGAGCACGGCCCCTCAGTGCCCCCCAGGCCCGGCCACGTACTTCTGCTGGTAGTCCTTGATGAGGCGCTTGGCCTTGCTGTACTTGCGCTCCAGGGCCTGGTACTGGGCCTGGGTCTCCCGCAGGTGCTCATCCACAGCTTGGCACAGGCTCTGGGCCTCGCCCCAGTAGCCCTCCAGCTTCTCCATGCGCTCCTTGTTCTCTTCCACACTCTGCTCCAGCTGCGCCTTCTCCACCCGCCACCGCCCCTTCTCCTGCTCCAGGCTCTGCAGCTGAGAGAGGAAGGATGGCCCTGGGTTGGTGGGGGCCCGAGGGAGCCCAGGAGCACCCCATCTGTCACTGGGCCAGAATCTCTGGAAGATTCTGCAGATATGGAGCCCACTGCCCCCTAACTACTGACTCTTACTTGGCTGAACCTGAGACTTGAAACCGGAGAAGGAAGAGGTGGGGGACCTCGGCCTCAGAGCTCCCAGCTGGAGTCCCTGACAATGCACCACACTCCTGCTCCCAGAAGGCAGGGGGCCTGGGTTAGTCACCGATTAGCTCTGTGACTTGGGGCAAGGTAACTTCTGTCTTAAGTCTCAGTCTTCTAATCTGTAAAATGGGAGTGATGCTTGCCTTGCCACACTCACAAGGGCTACCGTGAGGTGGTAGATTTGAGAGCGGAGCAGGGAAAAGTCACCACTACGCTCTGTCCCCTCTGCACCTCTGGCCTACTGACCAGTCCCTGCTTCTGTGGCTTCTTGAACAATCCTGGCCCCTCTCCCAGCTCGCAGGCTACGCCAGTGCAGACCTCCCGTCCCCAACGGCTCAGTCTTGGAGCCTCTGTTCTCTCTCACCTCCCACACCCCATTTGTGCACTCGGAGCCCTGAGTCCTGAGCTCCAGCCTAACATCACTTCCAACTCCTCACAGGCACCAGGCCCCCACTCCGACCCCAAAGGTATTCCTCCTTTCTGTCCAGCCCACCTCTGTTCAAAGGTGCCATCCTCTCTCACTGTCACCCCAGTGCTCAGCCTCAAACCCCTGCCTGCCTCTCCGACCTTGTTGGCTGCAAATGCCACTTGCTCTCTAGGCCCCGGCCACACAGGCCTTCCTGCAGAGCCTCAGGCTTGCCAGGCTCCCTCCTGGCACACAGCGTTTGCCCGTGCTGTTCCCTCTGCCTGGAGTGCTACCATCTCCCCTCCCCCTTGCCTCATTTCCCACTAGCTCACCCTTGGGTTCTCTGCTCAGAGTGTCACTTCCCCAGAGAAGTTTCCTGGAGCACATCCAACAGCACAGCCCCACGCCCCACCCCATCAGGTCCTGCTGCTCTTCAGAGCTCATAACCCTGTCTGTCCTCTCCCACAAAGCCCATGTCCATCTGTAACGATACAGTCATTGGTGTGCAGACTCAGAGCTGCACAAGGGCAAGGACCACATCTGCTTCTGCCTATCACAGGGACCAGAATAGTGTGGGCAGCCAGGAGGCAGCCAGCAGACGTTTACTGATTGAAAGCATGAACAGGCCTTGGACTTACCCTGCCCCTTAATGCTCTGCACCCACCCAGGAACCTGGCCTGCCATCTCCACCTCAGAAATGCAGCTCCAACCCAGCCTTCCCTTCCGCACCCTCTGCCATACGCTGGGCAGCCCTGGCCTGCACCTGCCTCCTAAGTTCGCTGGCCTCCAAGTCCTGCCCACCTACCCTTGTGTCCTCCCACTTCACAGACAGTGATCTTCCTCCTTACGGCCCCCAGGTGGCCACAGGCCCAAGGCTAGGGTCCTTCGGGGGAAGTCGGGACACTGCAGCTACGCCCACCCTGGCAGCCAGCTCTGCTCCCACATCTCCCACAGCAATGGCTGCTACAGCCCACGGCCTCCTCCGAAGCCAGCCTCCGAGCTCAAGCTTGTCTCCTGCCAGCAAGCATCTAACCCCCTCTCCCAGGCTCCGCTTCACACTCTCCCTTCTCCATGCACATGTGGGCGTGCACACACGTGTACCTCGGTGTACCGTGTCCACATGGCTGTGTACCCCTGCTTCTTCCCACTACACGGAAAGCCCCACGGGAGTTGGAACGTCTAATGTCCTGGCCCAGCAGGGGCCCAATACAAGTTTTTCATCTGGAGTCTGTGCATCTCCATGCCTGCGAGAGTTAGCACCCAACATGCTTGTGTGGGTGTCTGTGCGCGGTGCATACGTGTGACTGTGGGTGTCACGTGTGTGTCACCATCTGGGAGTGTTAGCATCAGCACCTCGTGAGAAGGCACATGTCCTGTGACACTCCTCCTGCGCGATGGCCATGCCTGTGTGTCTTAGAGCAATGCAGGGGGAGTCTACACATCCAGGACGATGCACGTGTGAAGCTTAAGTCTAGCATCTCCGTGTTCTGCCTGCACAGAGTAGGTGTCTGGTGCATGGCTCTGTGGGTACTGTGTGCCCGGGGCCCAGGCTGGCATGTGCCTGTGAGTACCCTGGGCGGTGTGCATCTATCACTGGCCCTGTGTGTAGAGGACTCACGTGGGACAGCATGGACATGAAGACATCTAGAATGTAAGCCAGTGTATTTTGGGATAATAGCTGATTGTGCAACCTTTTACTGAGCACCTATGATGTGTCAGACACTGTGCTAAGGACTTTCCCTGGATTATCTCACTTAATCCTCACAAGGATCCTATGGTATTGGCACCATTATTACTCCATTTTATAGATGAGAAGACTGAGGCACTGAGCAGCAAGTGAATGGTGGACAGACACATCCAGAGCTCGAGTTCTTTACCCTGCCCTCCCTTACCTAAGGACAGCTTGCCCTATCCGTGCTTGTGGGTAGAGGAAGGTAGGCAAGCGTCACTGCAGGTGTGAGGGGTGGGGGGGGATCATCCCTCCAGCCCTCAGACCCTGTTCCTCCCCCCTCCACACTCCCCTCACCTTTCTTTTCAGCTGCTGGATCTCTGCCTCAGTCACAGCATGCTTGATCTGGAGCTGCAGGGGAGGGGCAGGTGATCAGTTCACAGGCCGGGGGGCGGGGGGTTGGCAGAGCTGTAGGTGGGATGCTGGCCCACCTTACCCTCCCGCCTCCCGCCCCAGGACCCCCTCCTCCCACCTCCTTGAACTTGTGCACCAGCTTCTCGGGCTCCATGTCCACAGGGGACAAGGCATCCTCATTCTCTGCCAACTCGAACACCTCGATGGCCATCTCGCCGCCTGGGAACGTGGGGCTCAGCTCTTCCTCCTCGTCGGTGGCGTACTCCCCGGTCTGCGAAGGGGAGAGGAGGCCGTGCGCCCTGCCCATCCCAGCCTTCCGCAGGCCTGACAGCCGGACTTAGACTGCAACAGCCAGCCCACGTCAAACCGGGAGCCCCTTAGGGGGTCTGGTTCATGTTGCCCCCATCAGACTGGGGCCATGGTGTGTGTCTCCCCTGAAGGCATGGGCAATCCCCCCATAAGAGAGGCCCCTGGAGAGACAGCCTGTTTCTAGGGGTCCCCTGAGGTCTGGAGCTGTCTCCTTCCTCAGATTATGGCCCCTGGGGCTAGGGGCTGTGCTGTCCCCTCAGAGTGGGGGCTCTTTGAAGAACTCTGTTTTCCTCGTGGGACCAGGAAGCCTCTCTGAAGAAAGAGGGTGTGACTCCTCCATCAGGGCTCCGGGAGGAAAGGTCTGCATCACCTCCCTCAGACGGGGCTCCCCTAGGACAGGGAATGGTGCTCCCGGCTTCCTCACAGGCCCGGGAAAGCGGTGAGGCAGAGGGTGTCTGTAACGCTCCAGCCGGCCGCCAGGGGGCGATGCCGCCGGCAGCCAGGCCAGGAGTGCCTACCTCCTCATCGTCCTCCCCATACTGGGCGTATCTCTGCTCCATCATCTCTCGCTGCCATCGCTCCTGTTCCAGGGTCTGCTGAATTAGCTGAGCCACCTCGCTCTGCTCACCGGGCCGCTCCCGGCCGATCATAAACCTGCAGGGACACCAGTGTCATTCCTTTTGCCGCTGTCCTCAGCTGGGTTAACGGCACCATCCTCCCCGCTGGTGCTCCTCTCTCCACACCCAGGCCCTCCCAGGGGAGGTGAAATGAGAGGGCTGAGTCCTGAGGCTGCAGAATGTTAATAATGAATGGGGGAGCCGGGGGCCCTTATTGAGTTTCCTTCCCAGGAGGCAAAGGCCCACTGGCCAGTTTGGGGGGAGGGGTGATGCCAGCCCAACTTCAGTCTGGGCTGCAGGGGACGTGAGTTCAGTGTAGGTGCTCTGACCCCACCATGTGGGAGGAAACGAGGCAGGGGATGGCGAACCTGAACCACCCGGCAGCGCAGGGGCTGTGGAGGGCTGTCTTGCACTGGTATAGGCTCCAAGGCCCTGAGTTCAGGAAGGGGCGGGATGATGGTGACTGGAGATTAGGATGGAGAGGAAATAGTGGAACTTCCAGGCACCAGCCCCTCCTCTCCGTGGCCACCCACATCCTGTTTCTCTCCACCACCCTTTCCTGGGGGCAGTGCCCCTCTTGGAGGGGGCTGGAGTGATCCCTGAATGTTTTGCCAGAGAGGGACACAGGGAGCTTCTAGCACCATCCCCTTCATTGACACGCTCAGGGAGAAAAGTCCTTCCAGTCTACATGGCATTCCCCCTGTACATCTTGGCTTTTCAGTGAATGAGTGTGGACAGGCAGGGGGAGAATGGGCCCAAGAGGCAGTTTGGAGGTGCGGTGGAGAGCGGGCCTTGAGCCCGAGTGCTGGTGGCCAGCAGTGGTCACGGTCTCAGGATGGGAAGGTAGGCTTGAGGCCAGGGATATGGGCACAGCCATTCCTTCGGGCAGGGACGCAGTGGGACCTCCTCTGTAAGTTGCGTCACACAGAACCTTAACTGTGTGGGCAAATGGGCAGAGTGGCCGGATGAAGGCCGAGCCTCCTGCCAGCTCCCAGTCCCCACCTACCCCACCTGCCCGGCCCTCACCGCACGCGGCCCTTGGTGTTCCGGAGCACGGAGGCTGCAAAGCTCTGGGTCACTCCCACCAGACTGGTTCCGTCCACCTCCACCAGGAGGTCGTTCACCTGGATCCTAGGGGAGGTGACACTGGTTAGGGCATCCTGAGGGGACCTGTGGAGCTGGGGTAGAGGTGGCCCCTTCCCATTAGAAACTCAAGGCTCAGTCCCCACAGGGACCTGGTACTTTGTCTACCTGCATAAAATGCATGAGGCCTGAGGTTCAGGTATCAGCCAGACCCACCTGTGTGGGCAGTGACCTGAGCAAGCAAAGCACATAGGTGTCCGGGACCAGGAGTAGCATCACGCTCCCTTCCCATGACAATCACACCCGTGTCTCCTCCTGCATCACCCCTGACAGAGCAATGTGACATCCACCAGAGATCACAACCGCCATGCACAGTGGCAAGGCCCACATACAAGTCTGCACAGACCTGGTCTGACGATTTCCTTCCAAATGAAGATTTCCTTCCTGCCCCACACACTCATGTTCACACTGTGTACCACAGGGTCCTCTCACCCTGACACTGGTGCACAACCCCCAACAGTCCAGCTGTGCACCTGAATGAAGCCTGTTCTCCTCACAAGGGGAGAGATGGGGGTGGTCCAGCATGGCCTGCTGAGAGGGAAGGAATGAGGGGACCTCCCTCGAGCCCCAAGCCTTCTCAAATGGCTCCAATGCGGAAAGGGAGGACACGGCCTATTGTAAACACTCCACATGCCTCACGTGTGGGTACGAGCCTGTGGACACTCTCTCCCATGCACACACACTCCCCAGACTGCCCACCAGGTGACCACAGGAAGGGTTCTGGAAAGTCCCAAGAAGAGGTAAGTGAAAAAGCAGGGACTATCATCTTCCTCTTCTCTACCCCTCCCCCCCATGCCACCTGGGTTGCAGTGGGCAAAAGGCCTCTGATGTAGGCAACCCCACCTCTAGCAACATGACCCCAAAGTTATTAGCCCTCACAGGGATACCCACTCACCTCTGTCACATGAAAGGGGTCTGCGTTGGAGGTACCACCACAAGGCACCCTTGATGTCAACCTCCCACTTACAACCCCGGGGTGCCCTGAGCCCTTCCCACTTCCCTGCTGCAAGACACATACAGTGGAGCTGTCCACAGAAGGGCCACTGGGCTTCCCAGGACTCCAGGAGGTCCTTCCAGAACCTTCTGACCCACAGATACCCCCTCTAGCTCAGATATCAAAACACAGGCACACATGACACACAGAAGGAGCAGTTTCCTCTGCAGACACATCTGCACTGTCTTTCTAGCCGCACCACACACCTGGATCCCCTCTGTTCTCTAGGCTCCAGCCATAACTGCCTGCTTTTGGTCCCCTGCCTGCACCTAATACTCCTTTTTAGCCTAGTTAACTTCTGCTCATCCTTCAGGTCTCATCTGCAATGTCACTTCCTCCAAGAAGCCTTCCCTGATACCCAGAGAGATCAACCCTCCCCCGCTTTTTTTATTCAGGGCTGATGATCAGATTTTATTTACAATTTGCATCCTACATCTTGTCACTGGACATATCCCCACGTTGCTCACTGTAAACAAAGTATCTCATCAGGAGGGAAGCACCATCCTCTATCTGGGCGTGCTGCGGCTGTGCAGACTGACTTATTTTTCTACAGATACTGTGATGGGCATCTTCATGCAGAAAGCCTTTCTGCATTTAGGATTACCTCCTTAAGGCTTTGGTAAATATTGCCAAATTGCTTTCCCAAAGAGGGTGTAGCAGCTACCCTTGGGCAGTTGTATTGAGTTGCCTGGTACCAAAGGAAATTTAAGGTCGTAGCCTCACTTGGGTGGGAGGTCAAGCCCTCCTCTTTTTATGCCTTCATGGCGCCCTGTATTTTTCCTCCATTTCACCATTTTCTGTGTCCACTTGAATGTCTGCCTCACCACACCACACCACACCACACCACATGATTCCTAAGGGCAAGTATCTCATCACTGACTCCCGGGGCCTGGCACCAGCCCCAGGACAGAGTCAGGAATTAGATATTTGAGGAATGAAGGAGGGAATGCTCAAACATACTCCACCAGGCACATAGTCTCCATGCTCATGCTCTCCCTACCATGGCCCCCCACACAGTCAGACACCCAAACCAGCCCTCATCCTCAGCCCCCCCTAGAATGCAAGTTCACGCCGTGGCCCCAGGCCTCGACCAGCACCTGGCACAGTGTAGCTCCACCACCACCTGAGCCCAGCCTGGCTCAGTGACCCACCTACAGAGGATGAGAGGGAGAGGCGGTACCTGCCATCCCGATGGGCTGCACCGCCCTCAGTCACAGTCTTGACGAAGATGCCCAGCTTCTCCAGGCCCATGTCTGCCCCGGCCCCCATGCCGATGATGCTGATGCCCAGGCCCTCGGAGTCTGTGGAGCAGAGGGCAGTGAGATGCTGGGGGGCCATGGAGAAGGGGGAACAAGGAGGTCTAGCTCAGGGCTTGCAGGGGACAACGTGAGAGATGCACCCCATTCCCAGCCTTCACTCTGGGGCATGGCCCCCCTCCACGCTTGGGAGTGTCCCACAACTGGGGAAGGGGTGCAGCTTTGTCCACCCCGTCTTTGCCAAGCCGACTAGGATGCTCTTGGGCCACTCCCTGCCCTCTGTCCACCCACAGAACGGATGGGCAGCAGGGCCTGCTGAGGGTGACCCTGTGGGCGGGCCAGAGGCTACTGTGTGCGCACACGAGGGGATGTGGGGGATGCGGATGGAGTCGGGTGGCGGCAATGGGCTCACTCCTCTTTAAGCAATCTCATCCATACTCACAGCTTCAAAGACTTCCCGCTCTTCTCTCTCAGCTGCACCACCCCTCCCATGGGCCTCTGACATCCCAACTCACGGTCTTCCCCCACAAACTGGCTCTTCCTGTCTGCCACTCCCTCCTGGGGCCTGGGAGTCACCTGGGTTCCTCCCTCCCCCTCACAGCCTTTGCCCAAGCCAAACCACCACCAGACCCTGCCGATCCGCCTCCCCAGGGCCGCTCAGGCCACCCACTTCCCTCCCCACGGCCACCATCTTGTCCACACCAGTGGTCCTAGGATCTAGGATCCCTCTCCCCAAAGCACCGCCTGGAGTGGTCTTTCTCTTTTGAATCCTCACCTGAGGAATTTTCCATTTGATTTTTAGAGAGAGTGGAAGAGAGAAGAAAAGACAGAGAAAAATATCAATGTGAGAGAAACACATCAATTGGTTGCCTCCTGTGTGCACCTGGGCCAGGGAGGAGGTACGTGCTCTTGACTGGAATCAAACTCAGGACCCTTAGGTCTGCAGGCTGATGCTCTATCCACTGAGCCAAACCGGCTAGGGCCTGGAGATACCTTTCTGGAATACCTCTCCCACACCCGTCCATCATAGGGAAAAGACAGCGTCCTTCACATGGTCCCGAGGCCTTGCTTGCACGCCCTTCTTCCCCTCACTGTCCAAATCCAGCCAAGCCCGCCTTCTCTCTTCCCCAAAACTCCCCTGAACTCCTTTTCAGAGCACAACTCAAAGATCACTTCCTTGGGGAACCCCCCTCCCAAGTCTGGTCAGGTCTCCTGTAAAACACCGTTATTTCAGCCCCTGCAGGCCTCCCCAGCACCTATTACAGCGCCTAAGGGCGTAGTTAGATGTGACTGTCCCATGTCTGCCACCCCCCTAGATCTCCCATCATGTCTGGCCAGCACACAGCCCAAGACAGCCCACACCGTGCCCTCGGGAGCCTGGCAACTGAAGGAGCACACACCACTGGTGGTGGGAGCCTGGGACTAGACTGGAGTCCGTGTGGCTGGGGGTGGCTGACAGGGCCCCGGGCAGAAGCTGGCACCGGAGAGGACACCCACGTGGCTGGGCCTGGCCGCTCACCCTTCTCCAGCTCCACAGGGAACAGCTCCAACCGCTCCACCCGCTTCTCCAGCTCATACTCCGCAGAGGCCGCCATGGGGTCCACGTCCTCGTTGCGACGATCGTAGTCCTCGTTGGAGTAGGTGCTGAACACCTGGGGGGGGACACTTGTCAGAGGGCAAGGCAGAACTGGCTTGGGGAGGCCCAGAGGGCAGGCTGTGCCACCCACCGATGCTCCCCTCCTACCAGAGGCCTCCTCCACCCCTAGACAGGGTAAGGTCTCCCCCAGCCCAGGATAAGCCCAGCTCGGAGTGAAGGCCCTTCTAGCTCTGGAGTCCATGGGAAAGGGCCACAGCATAGCCCAGTCCACACCACGATTCTCTTCTGCAGCCCCAACAGTGTAAGCACGGCCCACAGGAGAAGCAAAGGAAGGGCCATGTTGGAGAAACTGCCCGACTCAGGAACCCAGGTCCCCAGGACAGAGAACGGCCAACAGACAGGGGCAAATAGCGAGTAAGAGATGAGGGGGAGCCAGACCGAGGCAAGGGCAGATACAGACATGGACACAGGGGGCAGGATAGCAGAAGGAACAGGCTGGGCAAGGGAA